TTCTAGGCCGAGTCGCCGCGGCGCTAGTGAGTATCTTGAACCTTTTTTTCCAAAGTAGTTGATGCGTTCACGAATAGTAAGTGGTGTCCCCGATAACAGAATTCGTCTTAAACAGTGTGATGGTGACAATTTCATATTAATTAATATTTAATAACAGGCACAATGCAAAATGTTGCCATTAGTAAAATGCATTAGTTGTAGAGTATCAGATTCACCTAGCAAGGTAAATTGATCATCACAAATTGGCTTTCTAAACTAAATTTTTAAAAATAAACACTTTGGCCACCGGTCATGTCGCTCCCGATCCACTCAGCCAAGGGCGCCCCTGCTTAGTAATCTTTTCTTTTTTTATAAAACTACTTTCTTTTTTACATCAACAACAAATTGTGCAGCAAATGGAAGATAGAAGAGAACAAAATTTTCAAAGAAGTGCGCTGTATCAATATTTTCTACTCTTTATCCTATATTTTAGGATATTCAGTACCTGTATTAAAATGAGAATCAATAGTTATTTTTTTCACTCAGTTCTAGAAAAAAAAATCCTATATTGAAAAAAGAAAAAAGCAAATTCAGTGCTGTAGTTGGTTACTTTTAATAGGTGAATGGAGATACATTGTCTCATATGTTCCTTTTAGTTTTCCTTCAAAATTATATATCGAAGATGGGCTCAATTTTTAAGGAGCGTGAATAAAAATTAGCAGGTGAAACAAGTATTAGTCATGAGATTCGATGTCAGGTTTGCAAATAATAGGACTGTAGAAAAGAAAAGATTGCAAATTACATTTTCTCTCGTGTATTGATATACTTAATTCATGCATTTTCTGAAAATATTTGCTAAAGCATACGGATAGCATCAAGCATCGCAGTCTAAATCGTGAACTTTTACAAGACGTTTGAATTCCCTTTAATAATAATTAAGTTTCTTTAACTGCTGCTAAGAACTACGCACATCAATCTTTCATTTCGTTATCGTTACTTGTGTAACTCTTTCTAATCTTTCTAGATTCCACGCAAAAATGTTGCTTGAGTTTCCTAGTCTTTTAATTTTTTAGCATGCGTAATCGACTCCTAACCCACACTGAAGCCTTTTGTTATAATTATTGTGAGCAGCTTTCCCGAATCATCCGTTTTGTTAGAGAACTAACTTGCCTCAGGGCAAAGCATAGTGTTTTACTAAACCACACCTTTTCCTGAAAGTCGTAAACTTTGTTTTATTCTTTTAACGTGCCATTTTTTTTTTTACCATCTATGAAAATGCCATTAAAAAAATAGTGTTCAGTTAAGATAGCAAATCATGCTCTTATTTCGTTCCGATACCAAACGGAAAGGTAGTATATATTTAGAGTTAATTGTGCTGGCTAGTGGGAGTTGAAGCCTGATTTGACCTAAAATATACATGATGCCTATTATGAAGCCAGAACTAAATTCCTATACTAAATTCCTTATTGACTGCAAAATGTTTGTAAAGGGTTCTGTAACAAACATTGAGAAAATGAAACTTCCCAATGTAAATCAAAAATCTAATTATCACATTTATCTCCACAAATCGACTAAATTTTCTGCGCCTATAACCAAACTTATAATTGCGCTATTGCATGTGTCGGTAAAGAGGCCCAAGCTTTACAGCTGCTATAGTAACAGTTGCATGTTTGTCTAAAAAGCCCGCGTACATCGGTTAGTTACCAACTGTATATTATTATTCTTTCAATGTTAGAATGGTAAATAAACACGAAAGATAACTTCATCTGTGTACCTTGGTTTGAGTCTCGTGATTTGTGACCGAGAATGAAAAAAATCCAAAGCTTTGACATGAAATATATTGCATAAATGAATAAAGTTAAAAGGTCTGATTAATGTTATTTGACGCCGTAACAGGTACATGTGTGGTTACTTTATTTTCAAGACTCTTAGTCTGAGCTCTTTCACTACCTAGTATGAATACTCAATCAATGGTTCGAGGAGGTGCGAAGAGAATAAGTAGGAAAAAAACTACTTTTATGAATGATATCTATCCATAGTTTTCACATGACGTCAGTCACCAACACTCAAAAGTAAAGAATTATCGATTCTCCTAAGATTTTGCTTTAATTTAGTGTCAAAGCAGCTAAAAACTTATGTTCTTACAAGTTTTTACTCCGAAAGGGTTCTTTGTTTGTTTTTTTTTTTTGATAGAGTACGCTTGAATTTCTAACCTTTTGCAGGACACGTCATTTACAGTATGTGGCAGTCGAGAGAATTGCCATGTAGGTTAAAGACCTGACTTAGTTTGGGGGATGTGGCTAGGCGTTCGTAGCGTAATTACTAACAGTGCTCCTATATTTCTAAAATCATGCCAGTTTTTGTAAATTAAGCTCATTTTAGCAAAATATATGCAGAAACTATGCCTGTACTGTTTACTTCTCAATTACTGTGCAATTAACACGTAAAAGGCAGACACATTTTCCCTATCCATAAACTAGAAACTTTGCTAGCGCAAAATTCACCATAAATTACCTGGCTA